CACGAGAATCGGAGTCTTCTTTAGTATTTATTTTCAATTCAAATATAAAATATGAGTTTTACCTGAAAATAGTATTTCATTATTTTATAGTTATTTATATAAAAATAGTTTTGTATAAATACTTCTTTTGCTATTTGCAGAGAACCTAATCCTAATATATAATATTATAAATTATGCTAGTCAAGTATATCGATAAATAATTAATGCAAAATAAAATAAAATGCTAAAACTCTGAACACTTTATCATCACTGTGATTTAGAAAGTAATATTCAGTTTTGTATTATAACTGTAGCGTAGGATTATAACTCAATTATCAAAGAATTAAATACATTTTTGTCTCTTTTATATCAATATACCTCTTATACAGTATATATGATAAAAATACAATACAGTATAATAAGACAATAGGGATATATTTAAAGTCTTTATCGAGTGTGACTACAACTGTATACACGTATAACAATAATACATCATAAATGATATATACCGGTAATATAAATATAATTATTGTATTTGATTTCACTGTTATTTTAGCATTAATAGGTTAGTGGGCAAGTAATTGATTTAAAATCAAGTAATATATTTCAAGAAATCTTTATATAAATCATTTATTGATTTATAATTGTAATTTTATTGATAATTTTAACATTTAATTTCATTACTGAGAATTTTAACGCATTAAAGATCATTTAAAACCTACTGTTGAAATTTGAGCACTTTTATATGCAATTAACTAATTTTAGATTAAAATTTGTAACAAGATAACTTTTTATGTAGGACTTTAGAAAATTTATGGGCAAAATTAGTGTGATAATTAAAAATTCTTATATATAAATATAGTAATTTGTAATTTACAAAACGACACCAGTGATATTTAGTCTTTTAAATAGTATTGTAATAACGTTAACATTACAGGTATAAGCATTTAAGGTTTTAATCAATGTCTTTTAGCATTCGTTTTATATTTCAGTTTATTTTTGGACTATTTAGTAACGTTAATTAGTTATTAAAAATAGAAATTAATGACAAATTTTAACAATAATTATGAACACTGGAGGCAAACATAGAGTAACGTAGTCTTCATATTCAACAAATGTGTAAAGTTATATAGTATTCTAGTAATATGTATTGTATAGTAAAAACATATACAGTACAAATAAAAAGGATGAAATACTTTGTATTACACTAATCAATAGATTTATAGATTTATTTATTAATAATCTCATAATTTAAGAAACTCTGGACTCATCTGTTCAAAAGTTATGCTAAATAAAAGTGTTATTGTTATATGGATATTGCTTTATTCAAATTAAATTATTCTGAATTCCGAGTGTTTGCCAATGAATTGGCAGTGAATATAATACAAGAATATTCGTTAGGTATGATAAGTGTGAGAAATAATATTTGTTTTTGGGCCCAATTTTATTCACATAGTTTTTTATACAGTATTTGGCTAAAGATCAGTGAAATTGAATTCAATGTAATATATTTTATATACAGTATAAATAGACATTCAGTGGGGGCTCTGAGAAAACCGTACGGAATGTTAACGAAACACAAATGAAATGATATTTCAAATAATAACAGATATGTCGTTGAGATAGACATTAGTCGCAAACCGTTGACCACACGATGAAAATACTTGTTATTTAGGAATACATTGGCAATAGTTATATGAAGAGGTCGTCTAATAAATGCTATATCTGTATGAGTGGACAACCATTGGCTCTCATTAATGACGATCAATTTGTCAGATGTAAGTGACATCCAAACCATACTTATAAAATGAGTGCCCAGTTATAGCTCATTCTTATTATGTATTGGACTTTTCGTCCAATTTATACAACGATTACCTCATATTTGTTAAACTGATTGCAAAGAGATTACTGCCAAACAGTATAATAATTATTAACTTTAATCTAACATATTCTCTAAAATTAATTTTCTATCATATTAGACTAACTCTAATGCCAAAATTATCCACTATATATGCATTAGAAAATTTATATTAATTTTAAATATACTGTAAAATATTATATTATGAAATAAGATTCTGTATCCTATTCATAATCTTAAAACGGATTCCGTGTTTGAATATTTAAAATACAGTATTAAAGCGGATCTATTATTGAAATAAATTCTGTTGTATTAACCAAATAAGTTATTACTGAACGTCATCCTAAATTTAATTTTTTATTTCAATTGAATATTAATAATAATTTGTGTCTATTTTGAATACCTTTGATGTATTGCATAATATAAAGCACATAAAGAATAGTAAATGAATTTTTTTTGTATAAAAAACTTATAATAAGAATGAAGAGAATGACAATTATTTTTGATTATTAATACGGAAACCAAATTTAATTCCCAAAACACTCACTACAACTGTATTCAGAATAATCAGTGTTTCTTAAATAATTGTATTTTCTATAAATAGGTTTCGTATAAATAAAATATATGAATTTAAAGCAATTTTCACCATCCTATTTATTATTTTAAAATAATGCATAGCTTATAATAAAATAGCATACATTACATGTGCTTTGATAGAAAATGTCTTATTTACTCTATTTATATATCATAAACCAATGGCACGAATTTTTATTTTAAGTGTCTCTGGTTATTGTCTCATAAATACATTTGATTGATTGTTCAGGTATTGAAGTATTAGATCTATAAAATATATATATATAATAAATGATAATAAAAAATATATGATAGAGAAGTACAAGAATGTATTCTTTGCTTTATTTCATGGCAAACATGTTATCCGTCTCTGGAATTCTGTTATCACAGAAATTAATTTCTTTGAACCGCAAACTCGTATAGAATTTAATAATAAGTCCGACAAAAAATATTTATATATCATTTATATACAGTATATATATCATATTATATTTCATTCTCGTTGCATTACAAATAGTGATTCAAATAAAAAGTAAATCAATGCCCAGAATCTAGCAAATTCATTACGCCAAATAACGTAAACGAGTAAATGTTTTTAATTTGATGCAAATGTCTAATTGTTAATTTGCATAATGAATATATCAATTGGTTTATTATTAGCGAAATTCTTGGAAAAACGACAACAAATAAATATTTAAAAAGCCCAGTGAATACATTAAACTTTGATAATATATCCAATTATGACAACATTAACCCCTATCTGATGATTAAGTTAGACGAAAAAAAATTCAATATTTTATTAATTGAATGGTCGCCCAAACTGGTGGTGTATTGACGCCCACATAGATTCCCACAAATATTATACAAAATGCCTCATAATTTATATCAATATTAAGGAACACATTTTGCAAATGTTTTTCAATGTAATAAAAATATTCATTAAATAATAAACTCATTTTTGAGCCAATTTCATGACTGTTGCGAAATACATACATTTTCATAATTAGAAATTTGCATAATTCCTAAAATTATGTATGAGTCTCTATTCATCAAATCAAAGTCAATTGTGATTAGCAAACACACTTTTATAACAGCTTTTATCAACTCCTTCCTATTGACAGATCAATGAATCAGTTTATAATAATGTATAAAAATAGCCAAAAGTTAAATATTTGTCTCGAATAAGACATCTCATAATATTGTCCGTAAGAAGTGCACCAACACTTTGTTGAGATCTATAACAACATATTTATTGATATAATCCCAACACAAACTGAAAGTCAGGATATAGTATAAGTGGTGTCAATAAATTGAATTCCGTTTTTCGTTTGCATTCACCTCTATTCTCACTAACATATCAATCAATTCAAGTATTTATGGTATTAAATGAATTTTTGCCAACAGATCACTTGTCATTTTAATGTCCATCCATTTGTTACCTTGTGTATGACAATTCAAAGTGAATTCATCTAAATTGTCTGAACTCTATACCAGAGATTGAAATATTCCTCTCAAGAATCGTACAATAGATGCCAATTGGTTGCAAAGTCAATGCATTCATGCAATACTATTAGCCGACTATTGCCCTCTTTCGCAAACACCATGTATTTGACTTCAAACTCACAGAACATCTCACATAATATTTGCTAACAATTCAGAAAGATTTTCGAGATCTTATCGATAAATACAACACATAAAGATTTACTTTAAATTGAACCATAATAATAATATTGTGTGTATTTGTGTGCTAAGTCTAAACACTTTTACCATGAGATGTCATTAACTTAACATTGAGAATAAGTCATCAAATGTGAAAATATCTAAACGGAGTCAAAGTTCTCAGAAAATATATCGTAAATAAGATCAGAAATCAATCTAAGTCTAAACACTTTTACCATGAGATGTCATTAACTTAACATTGAGAATAAGTCATCAAATGTGAAAATATCTAAACGGAGTCAAAGTTCTCAGAAAATATATCGTAAATAAGATCCGAAATCAAGTCTACATAAGAATATTGCGATAAAATGTTTTTATTGCTTCAAAGTTCTGTTTATTTTCACTTTAAACAAAATTTTCTCCAAACAAATTCACAATTAATTAATTAATTCTCCATAAAGAATTCTGTACAAAAAAGTTACTTAACTTTATGTTTATAAAATCTGAGGGGAATGTTAACAAACAAAAGGGTCCCAATAAATACTAATACAGTTCCCAACCAATGACTAGTAGTGAACGGGTTATTGAAGTAGAAAATAGAGACAATTATCGATAAAAATTTTCTGATCGTCAAAACTAGTGTTACTGTCAATGAAGTGCATTCAGTGGTCAATACAAACACACTTCGTATGCATACATATTGTGCCAAACAATTCAAGAGTAATAATAACCATAACTTTGGTAAAGATAACGATAACACTAACAAATCGATTACAAAAGGGTCGGAATTGTTAAATATCACAAAATGATTGGCAATATCGGACGTCAACAGTAGAAAAACGGGTAATTGTAGAAAATGCTATAATATAAAAGTCATCAAATGTCGGATTAGTTAAGATCGGATCAAATAAATGCATTTAAAATGGACTTACAGTATAGAAAAGTGCTTCGCGCGGGTGTTTACCAAACTTGAGGTGCAGTTTCTCTTGAGTTACGCCGACATTTGCCGACACAAACAGCGACACCAGTGTTAATCCGATGCCAACTGTCCAGTCATACGGCGATATCGTATCGTTTGAATCGGTTTTATCCTTCAAATTCAATGCATTATTCAATTAAAACATCTATTATTCAAATTCAAAAGTGAAAGTTTTGTTAAATAAAAAGATAATTTGCATACAATTTGCTGGACCGAAGCTAATGTGCAAATAATGATACCAATTGTTATAATGAGAACCGATATGTATTTGGAGGCACTGTAGGCACGCTTTAGGATTAAAACACCTAAAATCAAGTTTGCGATTAACGAACCCTAGAAGTAGACATTCAGACAAAATGAATATTTCATTCAATTGTTTTCTAATCTCTTATATTTACAAATTGAATAATGAATGCAAACAAACAAATAACCGGTACTACGAATGTCAGCACTCATTACCCAAAACTCTTTTTGTAATTTATAATTAAATATTATTTTATTTGTTTGTCTCGAAACATACTTGAGCCGATTCCTGACTAACACTTCCCATTTAATTATTCTCTCTCTCTCTCTCTCTCTCTCCAACCCTTTATTCTCTCATTTCATGTCTGATATGATATTATTTATAACACTTTCCAAACTATTCTCGTAATGAAATAAATTAATTAAATTGAATGATAACAAAGATCTGGCGTTCAAAGTACAGCAGAAAGTGTACGGAAATATTGTTATAAGTTATAACAAACGTTTGTTTTAAAAATACAAGTGTTTCGCGTCTAGAGATCAGTTGTCAACCAACTATCAGTTCATTATTTTCCTATACATTAAAAATATTTCTTTTTGTTTCTGCAAAAGAAGCGGAAACTAGTGTCACATAAAGAGATAAATCTATCAGTTTATCATTATCTCAGCGACTATTCAATCCAATATATTATGAAAATATTTATGATTTCCGGGAAAAACTTATTCATACCATAAGAGTATAACAAAAACAAAACCTTTTCTATAAAATAAAAACCAAGAAATGTATTTATAAGGAAAACATTGAAACCATTTACTCAAATAGTTTGTTGAATGTCTGATATAATCTGATGGCTATAAGAAACCCTCATTTAAATACAGGATTTGATATTTGTGTTCAAATGTGTTAATGAAATATATAAAGTTTTGTTTATATTAGTATATTGTCTACACTTCAAAAGTAATGTAAGTAATGTGAAGTAATATTAGGAATAACATGTTGACTGTGCATAGCCTTAATGATCACGAAGTCATTCATTAATTCAATTATTTATACCATAGTTAATGTGTTTAAACTTATTTATCGCTGTGTTTACAAGTCTTATGTATTAAAAATTGTTGTTTATTTTGAGAGATCATTGCCTAAACATAGTCTCTAAGTTGACTCCATGTGTTTCACCCATCAAACCATTGCACACATTATGCAATCGCTTATGAATGGGGAGTGAAAACACATATTTATCTAACAAATTGCTAATTGAATGAAAAGGCTTTGAAAGCCAAACACTAATACATCGATTGACAGACAAATCACTCACAGATCGGAAGATCATAATCAAAGGCATCGGCATTCGGTACACATTAGCGTAGCTACTGCTCAGACTGACCACAAAGAACTGGATGACTAGCAATATGTAGTTCCTATGCCGTTGGATGAGATAATTAAGACCATTACTGTCACACCGAGTGACCAATTCATTGGACGCCTACTTGAGAGGAATGGCAGACGATTTGGTGCCGCATCTGGTGGTGAAGAGGAAGCCGTCCACCGAAATGAGCGCATTCTGTGCCAAATTGATGGCATTCCCAGCGCCAGGTGCTTGTCTGCCATCAAATCAAACGCAACAATATCTTAATTACCAATTGTTTGGTGGGTTTGGTATCAATTGGGCACAACTCGTGACACCACAGCACAGACTGTGACATCAAAAGCGTACCCAAAAATCCAGTTTTCAGATCACATGCTATGTTAGCGAAACAATTGATGGCATACCTGATGATGGCCTCAAGACACACGAGATTAGCGCCGCAGCCCATCATCACCACCGCTATCACCTCCGCTATCTTCAGCCCGTGGCTGTACTTCATCGTCGATACACTCGTGAGGCTATTGTTTGGCCACAACTGCTCGCGATTTTACATCACTTCTTGAGACCAAAAAAAGTTTTGTTTCACTTTTTTGTATACATTTGTCGCGTGAATAGTGTTGCCATTGAATAGCAAACGTATGACACGTTTGTCTCGTTATATCGCTTATGATTGCATTCACGAGTCAATTACGGGTCAAACCTGTCATTAGTGGCGAGTATTGACCGCATTATCACTCATTGGTCACACCTTTTCACGTGTTAAGTGACCACAAGTTTTGCCATTTCAAACACTACTGTATTTAGGGGTCATTCGCTAATTATCGTAGCAAAACACCTGTCTCACTATTTCCAGTTCAAAGTTTTTCATTTATTTAACTCGGCTGTAGTTTTGCCAATTTGGTAACAGGTGAATTCATTCTCACTACACCTGTCTACTTGCAGTCAAATTCATTCATTTGTTTCTCTGTCGAGTTGCTGTGTTTTTTGCATATAATTGTACCTGGAACATCCCATTAGAAACTAAGTTGTGCAAGCTTACATTATGCAAGATTTCTGCTTAATTTTATTTCATATCATAAGTCCTTCATATGAATGATCGAGTTACTGTATTCAATTGTTCAATGTTATGCAAATAGTTTCCAAGTATGTGTAGAGCATAGCGATAACTATGTTATTTGTATGATTCATAACTTTTGTTTGGTTTTTATTTTATGAATGGATTTTAATTTCTGTCTAAACATGCATTGGATGTATGAAAAGGAAAATCT